ATTAAAGAAGATACAGAAGAATATAATTTGAGAGACTACTTTGAAAAATATGGCAAGATTGAAACCATAGATGTTATGGAAGACTGGCAGAGTGGAAAAGAGAGAGGATTTGCTTTTGTAACTTTTGATGGTCATGACACAGTTGATAAAATTGTTGTTCAGAAATACCACACTATTAATGGACATAATTGTGAAGTGAAAAAGGCCCTTTCTAAACAAGAAATGCAGTCTGCTGGATCACAAAGAGGTCGTGGAGGTGGATCTGGCAACTTTATGGGTCGTGGAGGAAACTTTGGAGGTGGTGGAGGTAATTTTGGACGTGGTGGAAACTTTGGTGGAAGAGGAGGCTATGGTGGTGGAGGTGGTGGCAGCAGAGGTAGCTATGGAGGAGGTGATAGTGGATACAATGGATTTGGAGGTGATGGTGGCAACTATGGCGGCGGTCCTGGTTATAGTAGTAGAGGAGGCTATGGTGGTGGTGGACCAGGTTATGGAAACCAAGGTGGAGGATATGGGGGTGGTGAAGGAGGATATGATGGTTACAATGAAGGAGGAAATTTTGGTGGCGGTAACAACGGTGGTGGTGGCAACTATAATGATTTTGGAAATTACAGTAGACAACAGCAATCAAATTATGGACCCATGAAAGGGGGCAGTTTTTGTGGAAGAAGCTCTGGCAGTCCATATGGTGGTGGATATGGATCTGGTGGTGGAAGTGATGGATATGGTAGCAGAAGGTTTTAAAAACAATAGAAAAAGGGCTACAGTTCTTAGCAGGAGAGAGAGCGAGGAGTTGTCAGGAAAGCTGCAGGTTACTTTGAGACAGTCGTCCCAAAGGCATTAGAGGAACTGTAAAAATCTGCCACAGAAGGAACGATGATCCATAGTCAGAAAAGTTACTGCAGCTTAAACAGGAAACCCTTCTTGTTCAGGACTGTCATAAGCCACAGTTTGCAAAAAGTGCAGCTATTGATTAATGCAACATAGTGTCAATTAGAAGTACATTCCTGAGGTCTTTTATCTGTTCTAGCTTTGTCTTTGTCTTTTCATTACATCAGCTATATTGCCCTGTAAATTGTGGTAGTGGTACCAGGAATAAAAAAATTAAGGAATTTTTAACTTTTCAATATTTGTGTAGTTCAGTTTTTCTACATTTTAGTACAGAAGCTTTAACAAAATGGAGTAGTGAAGGTGTTTCCTTGTGAGTTAACAAGCAAAGATCATTGTTAATTACTATTTTGTATGGAGTTTGCTAAAGTTAACTGTAAAGAACCACCTGCTGACTTGCAGTTTAAGGGGAATCTATTCTCCTCATTTCCAAACCATGGTATGAATGGGGGCTGACATGTGGAGAGAATAGATACTTGTATGTATGCATCGTGTGTTTTGGATACATGGGATTGGGTATTTAAATTAGCATATGTGTGAATTTAATAGCATTAAGATTACCTTCAAATGAAAAAAAACTCTCAAAATCCCTAAAAAAAAATAAAAAGAGTCTCACAGACTTTCCTTTCCCTGGCTGGCTTTGAACCATGGTCCTCTCAGATCAGCTTCTGGAGCAGCTAGTATTTCAGGCATTAGCCATTGGTGCCTGGCTTGGGCTATGTCTTTGATATGCCCAAATGCTATTGACCCGAGTTCTACATGATGGCCCACAGTGGCTACCTGCTCTAACACCCCTAACGCTCTCCCAAGTTATAGCAGAACATCCCCAGTGCCAAAGTGGCTGTTGGCTGAAGGCCCACACAGGGTACATTCTGCTGCTCCAGCTCTAGCTGTCCCACTGCTGTGGGTCTGGAGGGGGTGGGGGTAGAAACATTGGGTGGGTGGTAGGAACATTGCAGATGCTCCCAGAACTTCTGATCTCTGGGGGTTGGGGGAAGGAATTGCTCCTCCCCCCCATGCCCGAGGTCTAAGTTACCCAGATCTGAAGAGGCTTCCTTGTCCTGGATACTTTCAAACTTTCTCTTTGACAACTGCTACTTTGTTTTCCCAGGTAAATGGAGCCCACAGGACCCAGGGTTGCAGCTGGAGCCTTCCCCTCTCCTCACATCGGCTCCTTCCCGTTCCCAAGCATCCTGTTTCTCCCAGTTGAGACTAGGATGTCCATGGTGGATGTGGGGAGAGAAGCAGGTAGGACTCCATTGATCACAGCTAGTTTAGAATGTCAATGGTCACAATGAAATCCCTTTGTACAACTAAGTTAATAAAAAAAAAGGGGGGGGAGATCACTAATGCAGCAGTTAAGATATCTTGAGAAAGAATGCATACATTGTTTTAAATGTTTAAACTAGGTCAGACACCAACAGCTCATACCTGTCCTTTTAGCTATGTGGGAGGCTGAGATCTGGAGGATTGTGGTCTGAGGCCAACTTGGGCATACATTTGAGACCACTTTTCAACCAATAGCCTGATGTGTCCTTGTCCTCCTAGCTATGTTGAGAGGCTGGGATCTGAAGGATCATGATTCCAGGTCACCCTAGGCAGAAAAATCCATGAGATTCTATCTTCATAGAAGAAACTAGATGTGGTGGCTGATGCTTGTGTTCCCAACTATCCTGGGAAGCATAAAACAGATGTATTTGGGTTCAGGCCTGGGTCTGGCTAAAGAGAGAGTGAGAGTGAGAGCGAGAGTGAGCGAGCGAGCGAGAGAGAGAGAGAGAAAGAGAGAGAGCAAGAGAGAGAGAGAGAGAGAGAGAGAGAGAGAGGGAGAGAGAGGGAGAGAGATGCTATTTCTAAATAACCAATGTAAAAAAAGAAGTGGCAGAGACTCATCTCAACAGTAGAGCACCAGCCTAGCAAGTGCAACCTGAATGCAACACCAGTGCCACCAAAACAAAACATAAAACAAACAACAAACAGAAATATAAAAATCAGGTCAGTCTTGGTGAGTACACCTGTAATCCTAGCCTTGGGAGTATAAACAAGGAAGACACACAAATCAAGCTTAGGTTCCCTTTGAAGATGACCTTTCCATCAGCTTCTCTGACATCCAGATTAAAATCTACCGGTTCAAATGAGTCATCTTCTAACCATTTACCAATCTAAACCTACCATCTATGTGCCTTGGTCTTTCGCTGCTTTTATTGTCCCCAATAACTGGTTCTGAGGGTTTTCCACATCCTCTGTTGACATTACTCACTGTCTGATATATTTTTTTTCCCTAGCAAGAAGGTTATATAGCTTATTTAACCATCCCTCAACCAGTGATTGCTTCTGTCTTTCCACTACTGCAAACTATATTTTAAAGAGTATCCTTTCCCATGCTTTCCTGAATACATTGCCAGGAGTTCTGGGCCATAAATCCAGAAGAGTGAGTCTGGTGGCTGTGTGAACTTCTAAAAATGAAGAGGCTTGAACATTGTTGTTGTTGTTGGTAGTAGTGGAGGTGTTATTTGCAGTTTGTTGTTGTTGCCTTTTGTTGTTTAGAGTACAGCAAGGAGGGGGGCGGCACAGAAATGGAGGGAGGAAGGGAGAACCCAACGCAGTCATGGTACCCAACAGACTGTATGTGGAAAATGGACTAGGCAACTTTGTGGGCAGGGATAGGAGGCGGGGAAGGCGAAGGAAGGAGGAAATTGTCCAAAAAGAAATAGACTTGTTACCGGACTTATGAAATGGTTACCACTCTGTGACAACATCTTAATCATAATAATTACAATAAAATTAGAGTAAAAAATGAAGACACTTGGAAATTTCCAAAGTACCTGCTACAACTCAGTGTCCTGGGCTGGAGTGGGTTTATTGCCTGCGGTGTTAGCAGTTACTGGAGACATGCAAATCTGCTGTCTTCGAGGGCATCTTGCTGCCTTAGCTGGAGAGAGCATCTGGGAGGTGGCTGTTTCCAGAAACTTCCAGCCACCCTTCTCATTTTGCCTTCTTCTCTTAAGGTACTTGGTGCTTCCCCAAATTCTGAGCTTCTCTGGGGGTGGGTAGGCTGGGAATTTGTGTGCTTCTCATGGTTTACCTGTCCTTAGGCTCTTGTTCAATCGTCTGTCTCCCTCCTGCTAGGTGATGACCTTTCTGGTCTTCTAATCTTTTACTCTCTTTAGATACTCCTTAGCTGTCACCTTAGCAGGGTTATAGATAGGAAGGAGTGAGTGTTAAGATGGCCACCGAGTCTGCTCCACTTTGCCAAAAGCTGGTGTGTCTCTGTAATCCCCTACAGAGAGTCGGTCAGTCTCTGAGAGACATGAAGTTCTTGTATTTGTTTTTGCATCTCAGCACCTAGCAACACACCTGGCATGGACACAGTCAGTGAACAGAGAAAAGCATAGAAAGACCCTAAGGACTTCCTGCTGATGGCCCCTGGCATCCAGGTGAAGGTTCTTCTCACAAATGACAAGTAAGTTCATGAAGTTGTCCACATGACTACCGTTCTTTCAGCAGGAAATCCCTTGTTATTTATTTATTGCCAGTCCTGGGACTTGAACTCAGGTTTGGAGTTCTTGCTTGGCTCTTTCACTAAAGCCTGCCAACTCAACCATTTGAACCATACCTTGGAAAAGTCTCATGGAATTTTTCTGCTGGGTGGGTGCTGCTTTTGAACTACCATTCTCAGATCTCAGCCTCCCGGGTAGCTAGGATTACAGGTGTGAGTAACTAGCATGGGACCAGTAAGAGTTCTTACGGGATAGAAAATTCTATGATCTCCTACATTGAGGGAAATGCTACTTAAAGTGAAATAAGAATTCTTGTAATCCTAATGATAATAACCACGTACCCTTTAACACCCATAATATTATGTAACATAATAACAATGTTGCTTGAGGACAACTATTTGCCCTGCACTCTGACCAATCCTTTTACAAGTACCATCTCATTTTATTCTTAGACACAGTCCTATGAAGCAGTCCTCATCACTATTACCACCATATCTTCCTTTTACAAATGGGAGATGGATGACTTCATGGTCTCCAGCCCTCTGCATTGTGAAACCTAGAAAGGAAGTTGCAGGAAGCAGTGTCTGCCTTTATAGGACAAGGTTTTCTTTCTTTCTTTGTTTTTGGTGCCAGTATTGGGCTTGAACTTAGGGCCTGGGTGTTGTCCCTTAGTTTTTGGCTCAAGGCTCTACCACTTGAGCCACAGCTCCACTTCTGGCTTTTTGGAGTTAAGAGTCTTATAGCTATGTCCACTCAGATTGGTTTTGAATCACGATCCTCTGGTAGCAAGCCTCCAGAGTAGCAAGGACTATAGGCATGAGCTGCCAGTCCCCAGCTAAGGATTTCTTTCTCTGGAATTGCATGGTGCTAGGCTCTGGTAGAATCTAGCATCCAGCCCCAGACTGGACTGTAGGAAAGAATATTCTGCTCCTTCTCTCTTCACCAACTGTGCCTACCTGGGAGCTAGGTGGCTTTGGGCACATCCTTGGCCTAGATCAGATCCTCTGATTCCTGAGGCCTACCCTGTGTGTCCCTCCGATGCAGCCCAGTCCCCAGGCCTGGAGACCTGGGCTTTGGAAGGGAGCTCCTCCCACTGCTTTCTGCCCCCTTGAAGCCAAGAGGAGGTCCAGAGATGCTCCGTGGTGGGCAGTCTGGTTACTGAATGAGAGCAGAGCTGGAACTTTCAGTTCCATCTCTGTGGGAAGATAAGAGCTGCCAGATTGTGCAGTTTGTCCTCCTGAGCTACTGATATGCCAGAGAAGGTGCCAAGAGCCACATAGTGCCTAGCTAGGCCGAGAGAGAAGGTGGGGGCAGGGGGGGGGAAGAGAGGGAAAGAGGGAAAGTGCGAGAGCTGTTTTTTTTTTTTTTTTTCCAGGACAATACTGTAGTCCAATCTGGGGAGGAATTCTCCTGGAAGTGGCACAAGAATTTGAGAGGAGAAGGACCCTAAAGATTTGTTTGGGGTGGAGTTGGGAACTGAAGATTTCTTCAGAGCCTCTGTCATATTCAGAACCTCAGGGTCAGGAGGCTGAAAGCCTAAATCTGATGGTACTGGCTGTGGCCCTTTGTGGCAAGTCACAGCCAGTGCTGTTTCCCCATCTGTAAATGAAGATAAAGCACCTTTTCCACAGGGTTGTAGGGAGGCTTCTGGTGATCTAAAAAGGGCCTGGGGGAACTCAGAACCCCTTAATCCCCTTAATCTTTGAAGCAGATGTGATTCTTTGTTTCTTCCTACAAAGTCACTTTCCAGATCTGCCCTATCAGTCTAGAAAATCAGTGGTGCTCAGTATATAGCAACCATCTGGCCATTCCTCCAGGCTTCCCACCTCCCCCTTCACCCCTCCTCAGGGAGTAGGCTTTTCCTTTGGGCCAGATAAGGAGTGACTCACTGCAGACCAACCCTGGAGGCTACAGCCTTTGTTGAAGGCCCAGCCACACCCTGTTTTCACCACGGGCCTGGAGCTCCCCAGACCAACTCTGTGTCCTCCTGGGATGGCTGAGGGTTGCTCCTGGGTGGGTTAAGGTTGGGGCTTGAATGTATGTGGTTTCCGGCTCTCCTTCCAGGAGAAAATGGTGACTAGAAGACAGTT